AATGTACATTTGCTGCGTTTTGACAACTATATACACTTGTGTAAACCAGATACCTTTCAAGATATAAATCATTGTTTTAAGAAAATTTGATCATATTCCTCCCTATTAAATTTTAACCCCACTCAACGGGAAAGGACCTCTAGTCTCATGTTAAAGAGAAGCTATGGGTGAAATTCATTTAACAATAAATATTAATATCATATGATATATACTCTTCTTTGTAAGGTTTCATTCACCCAACATAATTCTGAATTTACCAGAATTTCTGAGTGGTTATATCATTTTATGTCTCCACTAAAATTAGATGAAAGTTTCATTCCTTTCATACTGTCAACAATATTTGGTGTTAGCAATATTACTAAATCAAGCCATTCTAGTGGACACTTATTGGAGCCACATTCTGTTTTTTGTGGTTTTTTTTCACATTCTGGTTTTAATTTGTCATTACCTGGTGATTAAGGTTATTACTCAGTTTTTCATGTAAACATTGGACAACTCTGTATTTTCTTTAGTGAAATGTTTGGTCAAATATTTTATTCATATTTTAATCGTTTTAGTATTTTAAATTAGAAGAGTATTTATCTATCCCTACATCAGTCTGTGTGTGTGTGTGTGTGTGTGTGTGTGTGTCTGTGTATTATTTTCTCATACATGTATTCTAGATTCATTTCCTCAAAGGCACCTTTTGAATGTGAAGGTATTTGACTTATATTTTTTAATATTTACTTGTTATTGCTTTTTGTGGCTTAATACTATTTTACTGACTTTCATGTCACAGAGATATTTCCCTTTAAAAATTTCATGTTTTTTAATTTTTATTTTTGATGGTGGTTCTTGGCAGAGATTGAAGTTCATTTTTTCCGTATAGATATCAGTTCTTCTGACACCATTTTTTATAACACCTTGCTTTTCTTATTAGATCACTTTATTGTCCTTGTCAAAAATCAGATGACCACACAAGGAAAGGCCATTTATGGAAGCTATTTTATCCCATTGCTTGATTTATTTTCCTTATCCTATTCCAGGACTTGATTACTACAACCATGTAGTAAATTTTTAAATTCTCTAACATTGTTCTTTTTAAGAATGTTTTGTCTATTTTAGGAACATTGGCCTAGATACATAATCCTGAGGAAATATCCCAACCACCATAATATTCAAATACTTTGTAGGTAAAGTATGAATAGAGTGCCCACTTCTTCACAAGAGATAATCCACAAAATTTTAAACATAGAGTATTTTCCATTTTTAACATTAGCTGTTATTGCATTATTACAATTATATGGCTAACTCACTAATAAAGAAGGGCTAATCTAATGATGTTTTGTCATGAATACAATATTATATTTTTAAAATGCTTTACAATTATGGTTTTATTTATTAGGTAATTGTGTTCCAGAGAGTTTAACTAGATTTAAAATTTGAAGTAGAATCCATGTGTAGTTTCTTATTCAAATTTCTACATTAATTCTCTCATTATGTTGATATAATTCTTGCACATAGTAATTAAGTTTCAGTGAGTTTATATCTCAATTTCCCAGGTTAATTCTTGGGAATAATTTACATGTCTTTATAGTATGCAGCAACACTTTCAATACAGAGAATGTTTTTTCTAATATCCTGCAATTTATAATATAGCTTCCAGAATCACATAGCTATAATAACAATCTTATAAAATATCATTAGTAAAATGGTCCATGAAATATATAATTACATAATCATTAACCCATTTTGATAAGCTGACATGGCTACCAATATGTGATGCTTCCTTGCTATTTTTTCAAATCATTTAAACTTTGTGTCTACATTTGTTTGTTTAATAATATTCTTTTGAAACATAATATAATCATATGAATATCTAAATGCAGTGTGTTTTGAAAAAGTGATGAAATTGCTGTGGTTACAGCCAAAGATTACTTTCTTAGAATGTACAGAGTTTACCCTCTTGGAGTTTACATGGAGGCACGGGATAAAATTCATACAATATTTATGTGAAGAAATATCTTTTTACTCTATTCAAATAGTTTGTGGATAGATACTTACAGATCCAGGTAGTTAATGTGTGTAAACATCCAATTACAAAAATCTACACTAAATGATTCAGATACAATGCAGCTGTAAATGTTCACAATGAAACTTTGCTATTCATAATTGTGTCAATTTTCAAGATTTATAAGGTCTCCATATATATTGTTGTCCTGTTATGATTTTTGCCCACAATAACTAGTTTGCTCTTGTTAAGCAGGAAAAGTCATAAAATAGTTCACAAGCTTGCTTTAAGTTTTATGGCCCTAAAATGAATTTGACTACAGCAACATATTTATTTTATAATAGAATTTAGAAACCCTCTAAATATTTTACATACTCTTTAATTGAACACACACTAAACAATTTTAGATTCTCAGTGCCTATTACTTCCCTGAACACTGGATATTATTCAAAACTGATGTATTAGTAACAAACATAATTTTACTTAATCTTTACTACTTTTAATTTTATCAAGATTTGCAATGTATATAGTTATAACTTCCAAGTCTTTACTGCAGCATTTGAGGAAATTGGGAATATATGTACAATTACAGTTACTTTCCTAATACTGTTTTGTATCATGTGGTGCATAAATATGAATGTGGTAAGCCAAAAAATTAGTTACAAAAAGAAGTGAAGATATTCTTATAAAATCTAATTTACGTGTTTGGTGTTTAACCACCACCTAAGAACTAGAGAACATAGGGAAATTTTGAGATCAATTTTGATTTTTCTCCCAATCTCCTCTATCCAGTGGATCAAGAAAACATTTTCTTAATAGATAGGAATAAATAAAAGATTCTCTTTTATCTCAGTTTTCTTCTAGTGTTGTATTAATGTACAGAGTCATTTTCATGACATCAAATGGGCATGGGTTTTTTTCAACTCAAAATGTCCATGAACTTAGGAAAATCAATAGGTTTCTATCATCTTCTCTATCTTCCATCACTGGTGCCAACAGATTGCACTCAGTGAATGGAAGAACAGCAAGGAGTACAAGGAAATGGGACAGAGGAAGACATGCCATTAACATATTAAAGTATTTTCTTGCTACATATTTACTCCCTTTAATTTTTATAACAAAGCCCTAAATAAACATCATAATTGTCAATTTGGAGAAGATGAAATTGGGGTTTATTGATGCTGGCTTACATTCCTAAACCTGGATTTACTCAGCTCCCAAAGTTTACTGCCTTTTTAACAGATATCCTCTGAGTGTGGTAAATGTGCTTTACGCTATGGTTACTCTGGCTGTGAATACCTGCGGTCTAACATGAATAGTAATATAATGAATATTTTCTGATTAAATAATTAATAAAGAAGAAAAAGGAAACCCTCACACACCCAGATATACTTATTATATTTAATTTTTCCAGTACTGAATATCATGCAACATAAACCTTTTGCATATTTTATATGCACATTTAACCATCAAATATATGAATAATAACCTCAAACTTTCATTGGAAACAAGCTGAACTATATGAATTACTGAATAAATAAATGTGCTTTTCCTTCCATTATAAGCTCATCAAGTTGTGTTTTCTTGAATATTAGATTCATAATCTGTTTTAGAAGAGTAATTCATTTTAAGTTCCTACCCATCTACTGAGTGAGTAGCTCAACCCTATCCAAATATTTATAGATATAAATATAGCTATAGCTAATACCAACAAATGGAACTAGGAAGGACCTCAGATACACTTATTAAGGTAATGTGTGTTTGAGAGTGTATCAGGGGACAACAGATACAAAATACATATTTCAGCATTCAGATATTGAAATTTGGATAGTGTATGTTTTTTAGTGGTAGAATTATGAGTGATTTTTTTTAAAGATTTCAAATGTTGTTTGAAAAATGTGTTTTTGTTTAAAGCAAGAGCAAAACACAGACATTTCTTAAAAATAGATATTCAATCCCTGACCTCTCCAGGGATTGCATGAAGATGTCACATGGCTCCTGAAGATGAAAGTTTCAAATGCATTTTAAGGCATGATACAAAACAAATCATGTGAAAGCTTTGGAATCACTTCTAAAGCTGACTAAGCTCTTTCCATACCACTTTTAACTCCCTGTGTTTGACTTCTCTACTGAGGAGCTGAACTTCAGAGATCTCTCTGATGGGGTTCTTCTTGCAAAGCAACGCTGGCTCTCTTGCCTCAAAGGAGACCAGTTCCTCTGGGTTATGGGGAAGGTGAGCTTGATGGGCCTACCAGCTGAGGGGAAAAAAGCTCTGGCATCTCAAGAATGGAGCATTTATCAAAAAAAAACCTCACATAGTATACACTAGCTTTTCTACCACTAATATTTTTATCACTGCATTCTAGTATCTGTATACTATCCCCCATTTGATTTTTCTTTCTCAGACTAATGTCATTCTATGGATATTGCACAGGACCAAGGGAGGTCATTTGATACAAAAAATATGCTATGTATTTATTTTAATTAATTTCTAGAAGTGTAATAAGTACTTTGAAATTTTTCTACTTTAAAACATTTGCACACTTTTGGAAGTTTGCAATATTAATGAAATTCATTAAAGTTTTCATCTTTGCAAGGCTAAGACTGTTTATTAAAGAGTACATACATCCTAAATTATGCCTATTTATTTATTAAAACTCCATCATTAATATTGATAACATATAAAAGATTTAAACATGTAAGCTTATTTTGACCTACTTTTCATTACAAAGGGAAACAACATAAGAAATTCTTACTAAATCATTATACAAATGAGAGTAAATAATTGATGTGAACAAATTAGGATTTTCATAATAAGTCAAAATAAATAGGGCAATAAAATATTCTAAAACTCATTTTAGGTTGAAATTATGCTTGAAATGGCAAAGATTTTTATTTATGCCTACTTGTAGCTTGTTTGATTCATTGTTTTCAGTTGACTAATATTGTCTTTAGTTCATTATAATTTTTTTCTCTTTACTGTTAATGATTCTATTCATTTTCCTCATAGGCTTGAATCACCAACCAGGTCCTTGATAATGGAAGCTCCTCGAGGAGTCCAGGTGAGAGCTGCTGCAGGTGACTTCAAGGCTACCTGCCGGAAAGAACTACATTTACAGTCTACAGAGGGGGAGGTGAGTTGCCCTTGGTCTTCTGAAGGTGTCTCCTTTCAGGTTATAGGCATAAATTCCAGATGGGACACACAGATCTGCTTCATGAGAAAGTTTCAATCATGGGGATATTAACATTTCTTAAATATGGAATTCAATAGACCTAGCTCTACTTTCCTAAGAAAAGGTCTATATATTCTACTGAAATACATACACAAAGTAGTTTTACATGAAGTGTCTATATTCTTGTACTTCCCAAATAGTCAAATAAATATATTACTATCATGATAATATCAAAAATAAAGATGCTCTTTGTTTTCTCTCTTCTTTTTTAGTCATCAAAAAAGTTCTTCAAAAGTTTGATCAATAGATACTAATTTATTGTACATAGAAGCAGAAAATTCTCCTGCACTATTGCACAAAAGCTAGGAGAAAGGATTTTGAAACTTTTCATCATAAAGAAATGGTAAATCTTTGAAGAGATGTCTGTTTAATCAGATTTGAGCATGAAACAATTAGTACATTTAGTGAACATTGCATAATACACCATTAACATGTACAATGTTTATTCTCTCAGATAAAAATAAAATCAAAATAAATAACAAAAATCTTCATCTAGAAAGTACTGTAGACATTGGCTTCTTGGTTTGTTTCTGTATTAATGGTATTCAGATTTGTGTAAAGAGAAAAATAAGATTTACTTTACTATTTCTTTTAATTTTTCATTTCCTGGAAAGTTATATACATGCTAGTATTTTCTTGCATCAAATAACCCTTGCATGTGTTGTCCCACTATTCCACTATAATGTCATAAACTACATATATTTTATTTGTATTATTTCTTTTATAGTTTGATTTTGTTTCTACATGTTTATATTTTTGTCAATTCTGGAAATCCCTCAAGCTGTCTCTTCAGATATAAACTTTCATCCATTGTCTTTGTGTTCTTTTCTTGTAATTCTGAAGAAATGTATTTTTGTTCTCTTACCAAATCTTGGAGCTTCTCCTTCCTAGTTTCTTTGTTTCTCTACCCATCATTCTATTTAGGCACTATATTCGTGTTCACATTCCCAAGAGCCTCTTCCCTATCTAATTTATTATTTAATCCACACATCTTTCTTTTAATTTTATATAGGATTCTTATCTGTTCTTTTTCAAATCTGATTGGACATCTTAGTGGTTATTCTTTTGCTTTGGGGGATTTTGCTTATTTATTTTTAATTCTACCTTAAGTATTTTATATCTTATATGGAACTCATTTAATGCTGTAAATTTTCTCTACTTTATAAAGTAATGTAAGGATCTAAATATAATATAATACTATTACTATGTTATTTCCTTCATATTTCCGTTCTCTGTATTTTTACTTATTTGTTATTTCAAGCTCTAAAGGCCAAGTTGAGAAGAAATAGAAAAGAAGGATGATTGGAAAGAGATGCTATGGATGCATTTCATACATCTAAGATATAACCATGTAATGATTAATTAATAGAATCTTACCTTCTGTCATTATCTTAATTGTTGCTTCAAGACATATTTTAATTGTATGTTTTGCTTCCTTTTTATAAAAGTAGTTACTGACAGTATCATATTAGCAACTTAATGGATAAAACAACATAAATAATTTAGAAATATGCTTAACAACACTTTAAAAATATATGTGTAGGGGCCGGGGATTTAGCTCAGTGGTTTCACTGCCTGCTGCGCAAGCGCAAGAACCTGAGTTCGATCCCCGGTACCAAAAAAAAA